ACTTGATCCCCTCCTGACCCTGGGAGAGCCTGTCGTGATGGGAGAGCTCAGATGTGTTGCACAACCACTAAATGGGAGATGCTGCAGCTCTCCCCAGGTTTTCGGGGTGCTTGCCCGGTAGCAAGTACTTGTTTGCAGCATCTTGTGTGTATTTGGTAAGATGTGTCCTAAATAAGCATCACTGGGGGAGATAACGCTAATGATTAAGGCTGAAATGCCCTTCTTGTGTCTCCTTCAAAACAGATGCGTCGGTGGTGTATGAAGTCAAGCTCCTCGCCTATAACCAGCACGGGGATGGAAATTCAACTGTCCGCTTCGTGTCCTTGAGGGAAACTGTGGAGAGGACAGGTGAGACGGGACGTCGGTCTCGGAGGTGGTCTGTGAAAACTGCTTCGCAGGAAGGTGGGGAGGCGAGACACATCCCCCAGACACCCGCAGCTCTACCCCATCTCATTTTCAGCCACTCATTTCTTTTCAGCATCACAAATAACGATGAAGCAAAACTCTGCAGAGCTGGGACCACCTGGTGCTGGCAGGAGTGGCTTCTCTGCCACGTGGCTTGCACCATCCCCGTTGGTTGGCCTTCCTTAGCTTTACCGAGCCAGCACCCCTTCACGGCACGGTTCAGCCTGGTGACTTTTTCACCAGGGGGAGGGAGAGGACAAACCAAATGTTCCTGTAATTGCCAGTTTTGTCCCCTAAGCTCGAGCTAGAGGTGAGGCCATGAACATGAACAAACCCCCAAACATAAGCTAAGAGCTACCATCCTCGGCTGGGACATAGTGCATGAGCATCTTCGCTCTCCTGGAGCTCTCCTGGATATTTTGACATTCACTGGTGCTGGGAAGGGAGGGCGCATGGCTTTGGAAAGGAGAAGGGCTGCAGAGCATGAGCACTGCATTATGTGGCAGAAAAGGGGAAATCTCTAGAGGGAATCTCTAACTGATCACACCTTTCATATTCATCTATGTGTAAAAAACATCCTGCTGCTCTTGGAAGCCTTTTAAGCCTTCCAGTGGGAATACCTTCAAGAGACAGTTATTACTCCTCTGTCTGTGTTGGAGTAAATACTCATCTCCCTGGCATCTGCCTAGTTGGTACTTTGCATCAGGCATCAGCCTGCTCTGGCGTGGTGGCCACTTCTCACCTTCCACCTTGGCCACAGAGTTTTGCAAAAATTAACATCGGAGTCTTTTTTGTTCATTAATTGTGTCTAATAACAGCAGCCCAGGTAATGGGGCTGGCTCGCTACGGACCTTCCAGTCCTGTGCTTGCTGTGACTGCCTTCCTGCAGTACCAGGAGCAGGGGAGCTGCTCTGGGAGGCAGTGACCCCCTCCGGCCCCCCGGCCCGCTCTCCTCTTCCCCATACACAGCTCCCAGCACTGCCCAGGCTCCAGCTTTTTCTCTGGGCTCCCCAAAAGCTGGAGGAACCACAGGAAAACAGCACCACTGACCCCCCTCTCCCCCTTTCTTCTGGCAGTGCTGAATCCCCCTTGTGACTGCATGAAGGACGAGCAGAATAATAAGACCTCCACGACTGGCATCATCATTGGGATCCACATCGGCGTCACGTGCATCATATTCTGCATCCTCTTCCTCATGTTTGGGTACAGAGGAAGGTAGGTGTTGCTCGCGCCGCTGCTCATGAGGGGCGATGGTCCCTAACACTGTGTGGGTATCCCCCCGGGGGTCTCGCACCCCCAACGTGATGATGGGCTGTTTCCCATGCACATCTCAGGACACGCATCCTGCGGCATGCAATTGCACAGCCCGGCTCCTGTGAACACCGGGTGCTGTTTGCAGCACGGCTCCTGCCTCCCTCCCAGGCACCCAGACCCAGCGGGCTTCTCCGAATACACCCCATCAGCTCCGGTCCCCATCAAGGGACCTGGTACTTCCTGGGAGCATCACTATGGCAAGCCCTGACCCTCCCTGTAAACCAAAAGCCCTTTCACGGCGAGGGGAAGAGTCGTGACTTTATAGGAGGGATTTAAGGAGTGAAGGAACATAGCAGAGGGGTAAGGCAGACTCAGGCTTGGGGGAAGGAAGGGGGTGAGGCCCCGGCTTTGCTCACCCTCAGGCTCTGCCTCTTTATTTTTCAGGCTGCTGATGTGCAAAAATGTGCAGGAGCAGCTGTCAACCCCGCAGATCCCCAGGAGCCAGCGGAGCGCCACGGGCCTCGTCCTGAACGGGACCGCTCGCAGGGACAGGGACGACCGGGATTTAAATGGAAAGCAGCTGGATATGAATGAGCTGGAGAGGTTATTCCCAGCTTCCCCATCCCAGGAGCAGCAGGATAAGGGAATAATGGTAAGTCAGCAGGATGGGAGCATGCCTGGGAAATACAGACACAGTTGTGTGTCTAAGAGCATCGGTGACCTGCCACCGTCATTGCATTGTCCCCTTCCCTCTTGCCAGTCGCCTCACAGCCCGCCGGCCACCCACGACGACACCCAGATAGCCACACGCCCTCTGGATGAGTTCAGCATCATCGAGGAGCAGCCAGACTCCCTCCCGAAAAGCCCCCGCGGTGGCAGCCCTGCAGCTCCGGCTCCCAACCACGGTCCCACCAATGAAGGATAAAACTGCCAAGACTCGAACCCTCTTGTAGGAGTTACCAGAAACCAAACCCACGGCTGGTGATGTCTTTACAACGAGTCGTCAATCTCAGGTCAATTGAAGATTTCTACGGTCTGATTGTTATTTTTTTGTTTTGCTTTATTTTTATATATATATAAAAATATATATATATGTATACAGCCTTTTGGAAACTCTGTGAAGTTTATCTTTCTGACCTCTCTCGGGCCTCTCGGTGCGTTTTCTCCGACTATGGCTTTATCGAGACTGGTCACGATGTATTTTCCCCGCAGCTGCTAAGTAAAAGACTCCTTGGCAGAGTTTGACAAACTCTCCCGTCTCTGACAGACTGGGGAGACGGTGAAGCCTCCTTCTCTTGGCATCCCAGACTTTTTCCTGATCAGCAGCTTTAGGACTACTTTTTGGATCTATTTTTTATTTCCAGAAGACTGGATTCGGAGAAATCCTTCTAACTTGACTCCAAAAATTGAGGCCCGGGAAGGCCATCTCTCCATGGATTTGATGAATTTGTACACTTTCACTATTTCTCAGGATACTTTTTTTTTGCTGACTGACTCAAAATAATATGAAAAAAAGAAAAAAAAAAAGGATAAAAAAAAAAGAGTGTGTGTGTCAAAGGATGCCTGCCTGAGGGCTACTGAAAGACTTGGACAGACAACCCGAGTGAACTCAGAACCTACCTCAACCGGAATGAATGTCTTCTGGGAAGCAGAAATACCTGCGTCTTCCTTCGTGTTCAAAAAACAAGTAGCATAGCACTTGGTCAGTACAAGCTTGGTCCTACCTCAGCAGTCACGCTCTGTACCTGCCGCCTCGGTGGTTTTCTTGTCGTCTTTCCCATGTAAAGCACTTCCAAACCTTGAAAGCAATGTTCTACCTCAAGCGTGATAGAAACTCGTGTGTGTGTGGGGGGGGGTGGGTGTGTGTGTCCTCTCCTCTCCCCCAATTCCTGCCTCTCCCACCCAGCCCTGTGTGAAGCAAGATGCTTCACGAGTGTTATGAGCTTTACTTTTAGGCACGTAGCGGGGCTCTGGTGTGATTTTTGTGTGGTGGAGATTTGTATCATGGTTTTTTTACTTTAAAGACTGTTGGGGCCATCACAGGCACACGGCTCGATGCCCCATGGCCCGCTGGCACTGTTGCTCTTGCAGGGCCAAATTTGGCGCTGGTGGTGGCTGCCTTGGGTCGATCCTGGGTGTATTCAGGATACAGCTCCCCAGGGCTGAGTCCCCGCAGGACGATTTATGGCATGTGCCAGGACGAGCAGCATAACGCACCCCTGGGAGGTGGGGTCATCACCATCTTGTCCCTTCAAAGCCCACCCTACCATCAGGAGCGCCTACAAGGAAACCCTGATACAGCACTTCCCAAACCCCTTGAGATGCTACTGAGCTGCTCCCAGCTCCTCCAGCCTATTTCCAACAAGCAGGGGCTCATCCCCAGACAGGCAGGCACGGCCAAAGGATGAGCAGAGCCAAAAAGGGCTCGCTTCCCTGGGAGGACGAGGCGAGGAGGGCTCCTGGGCGGCAATGCAGGATGCTGGGGGCTGCCGGCAGCTGCCCCTTCCCCATGCCTGTGGTAGGCAAAGGAGCTCCTGACACCAAAGAGAGGGTTTGTGCGTGACCCCCTGACTCCAGGGACAACCACCAACGTGCCACCATGGGTTTTGGGTTGTCCTGGCATGGTGCAGCCCTGTGAGTCTGTGTGTGACCAGCATCATCCCTGGGGTGAGACAGGGGCGTGCACGGGGGACAGGGACATCCGCCAGCCGGTGCCGGAGGGCAATAGCCCTTTCCCCGCTGCGTGGGTTGGTTAAAACTGGGCGAATGTGAAGGTTTGAACTCTTTGTATAGGTGGTGGTAAATGAAATGTCGCCGTATTTGCAAGGAAAAATGAAAGGAATCAGGAAAGGAAATGAGTTTAAGTTTTAAAAAAATAATAATTGTATTTTTTTAAATGGTACCAGTGGGAGAGTCCCTTGTCTCTGAAACATCCCCCATCACCTTCCCATTTGCAACGGGATGCTACCGATAATTGTGTAAATAATACAATATACAGGACGATAAGGCAAACGTCTCTTCCCCTGTGCTGTGTCCTGGTGCTGGGCTGGGTTAGCTGTGAGCAGGACTCTCTCCTTCCAGATCAAATCATCCAGCTTCGCCCAAGCAGATGTAACGGCATTGACCCTGAGAGCAACGACCTCTTGAGGCTCAGTGTTTGTAGCCCTCTCCCACTAAAATTCCTCCTCCTGTCGACATCTTGCAGGACAGAAAAAATATGAAGGGTTAAACTTATGCATTAAGGCCCCAAATAGTCTCTCCCCACCCCACCAAAGAGGCTAAATGGGCCGTCAGACCAAGTCCTGCTCACACCTACCGCAGGGGATGCTCCCTCTTGCGCAATGCCCGACCTGGAGACAGCCTCGGAAGGGACCGCGGGGGACAACGCTGGTGGCACCATGCGAGACCAGTAGCGCAGCCCAGCCCATCGTGGGAGCCGGAGGATGCTGGGGCTTGGAAAGGGCAGGAGGGAGGAGGAGATGCCAAATGGCTCGAGTTATAACCTCATATCAAAGAAATCCCAATCTCCTCCTGCCATCCCGCTCCTGCTCCAGCCCAGCTTCTCTTTTTATTGTTTTTTATTTGTGTGTGTAACGCCGACGTTCACATTGAATAAGTACTGTTGCCAAAGTGAACACAGAATTTAGACTAGCTTTCAGCTCAGACTTCCTGGAGCTGTGAACATGCTATTAATTTAATATCATATTATTGTGATATTGTAATAGTAACAAGTATTTGTCACTACTTCCTTTTATTAAAGGGAAATGCTGTGCCATTTGACTAGTTGAAATACGAAAGTATGTCAAGAATAGAGCTTTTTCTTTTTTTTTTTTTTTAAATAATTATGCAGAAATGTAATGGCTTAAACCAATGCAGATTATGTGTTGGTTTGAGATGATTGAAGGTGGATGTGCATCTTTAAAGACTATTTTTTAGATGTTTAGCTTTTCCTCTTTTTTGGGGTTTCTTTTCCTCTCTCGTCAATCCGTACCGTTGGAACCTAACATAGACGGTTGCGTCAGCCCCTGAAGGGATGAGGCTGGAGTCCAGCAGGAGGACATGGTCTTCCCTGAATTATCCAACTCCACAAAACTGGGCAAAAAAACCCTTGGAATGGCATGTTTTGGCTTTGTGCTGTGGAGTACATCCAGCTGCCACTTAGGTGGAGAAGCAACATGTAACAGCCCCTGAGCTGGGCTGGAGGCAAAGCTGTGCCAACCAAAAACTTGGGAAAACATCACCTGGAATGTGTCTGGGCTTTAATCTGTAAAACAAGAAGGAAAAAAGAAGAAAAAAAAAAAAAAAGAGCTTGTGTTTGGTTTCAGCGTGGGGTACAGCTTCAAGTCTGTCCTTGGTCCATCCAAACTCTTGCCCTGGGTTTGAGGGAAAACACTGGATCTTTATTCTGTGCTTGGGGTGCAGTTGTACTCGGGTAGACACGTTGTACTCGGGTAGACACGTTGTACTTGGGTAGACAGGTAGGACTGCACGTCCCCATGTGCTGCCGGTGGTTTGGATGCATTTTTACAGGTATCAAAAAGGCTCCTCCCAGGTTTTTCGTGAGCATGTACCCGTTTTCATGGAATCAGAGGCTTCTTCAAAGGAATCACCTTCAGGCTTGGGCCGGGCTGTTGGTTGAACAGAAACATTTCTGCTCTGGGAGCGTGTCCCCATGCCGCTTGCAGCCGCCGTGGCAGCGTCCCAAGAGGGACGAGCCCTCCCAAGTCTTGGGGCAAAGCTCCGCTGCATTCCCGGTGCAAGCCCAGAGATAAAACCGCTGGATAATGGGCAGGTGGTGGATCTGGCGCAAGCTGCTGGCAACCGCCCGCATTTGGGGTAGGAATCTCATCCTCTAGTACTTTTCCAAGCAAATAATTCCACTAATTCAACTCGCTGCCTTTTCTGGGCAGATCCAAAAAAAACTTGCTTTTCTGGCTGTGGTGAGATGAAATTACAGCAAGGAATAACGTACTCAAAAGCTGATTTTTTTTTTAATTTTTTTTTTTTGTAACCCATAATGGGCACAACCTATTCTTGGAGCTCTCAAGTTTACCAGAGATGGCTGCTACCTCAGGGATAGTATCCACATTGTCTTTAGTTGAACAGGGAATAGTTTTATGCTGTGACAGGGTATTTTCACGCTGTTGGATTCAGGTATTTATTTGTCTACCATATCTTTCTTCTTCCTTGTTTTGTAAAGATGCTGAAATATTTAAGTGCTGGACCAGTTTGGGAATTTTAAAGCTTCCACCCAAAATTATACCAAGGGACTGTACATTTTAAGTTGGCAATAAAAGAGGAGAGAAGCTACGAAGCGCTGTTGCTTCTGAATGGTGAAGGGAAGGTTTTTGCTGCGCGTGGGGGCGTTCCTCTGGGATAACCATCCCCTGGCATTTCGGGGGGAATCAGTGCAGTGTCTGAGCCCTCTCTGAGCTGACTGACAGCACTTAAGTCTGGGAAGATCAGTTAAAAAAGAGGAAATTAAAAGCTTATGAAAATAAACGGCAGCAGCATGGGGGGAGCTACTTACTTACTTCATCTGTGCAAACACTATTTGGAAATCTATCCCTCCCCATGCTGCGCCAGTGAAGGCAGAGTAAAGATCCTATCTAGCAACTTGATGCCCGCTCATTTATTTCCCTCACCCGTCAAATTAAAAAAAGGAACGATGCTTGGGCTGGCGCTGTGGGCAGGGAGATGGTTACGTGTGAAGCACCAGCATCCCCAGCCGCAAGCGCTGCTGGTGCGGGGCCACGGCACCCCAACCCACCGTAACGCTGGAAAGCAGTGAAATGGCTCTGGGTTTCCTCGAGAGCAGAGTCTGAGCTTCAGCAGTCTGTAACGAGAGGGGCCGGGGCCGGTGCAAAGCCCAGCGAGTCGGGGAAAAGCCTGATTTCACGGGGCTTTGGATCAGGGTCTTACTTACAAAGCAAAGAGGGGTTTTACTTTGATCATATTTCCATCATTTAAACTCGCAATATCTTTACATTTGTAATAAAATAACAATAAAGACGATGCTAAACCTTTGTCCCAGCCCTCTTCGGGAATCAACCATTAAGAGTAATATTAAAAACCGAAATTGCAAAGCACTTTTCTACTGTTTATTTTCTACCTTTCTTACTTTGAACTGTCTTGATATTTGAAATCCCACTGATCCTACGATTGTTAGCTCTGTATAAATAAAAAAAATAATAAAATAAAACCCAGTTTTTTTGTAGTTTGCTCTGTTTAGATTTTAGCCTGTGGCTACTTGTACAAGAAAAATAAAGCTAGAATAAATGAGCTCGAGTGGTTCAGCCTGAGTGGTGCTTTCTTTGTGCCGCAGCACATGCATGGCTGCGGTGTGGGGATCGCGCGGGGCAGCTCGGGGCATCGCCGCTTTGTGCGGAGGTCTGGTGAGTTTGGCTCTTCTCCAAGAGCAACTTCCAAAATGCAGTTTTTAAGGGCTGAGGGTTTTTTATTTTGCTGCTTTGCTCGTAAACCTCAGGCCAAGCCATCAGTGGAGGCGGGCTGGGGCGTCGGGGCTGCTGGTGGCTCTTTGGCATCTGGAGAGGTGGCTGAGATGGGGAGCTCCACGGTCACGGTGTGGCACCTCGTGCTTAGAGGTGCAAATGAATTTCCAGTTAATCTTGGCTCTTGCTCAGCTATTGCTGCCATCTGCTTGTCCCACTGCCTCGGGCGCTAATGGGGCAACACTTTACCTGGTGGCTGTTGGCAGAAACTCCGGATTAAAGCCATGCTCCGGCCTTTTCCAGCTGCAAACTGGTCTGTGATGGCTGAGGCTGTGGGGGCATCCCTGGGAGCAGGCAGCGCCGAGCTGTGGGCACAGACCTTGGAATCTCGGGCAGAGTGGTTAAACCCAACACTGGCATCTCCGCAAGGCACCAACGAGCCAGGTATGAAGCCCAAAGCCTAATGACACGGCGGCATCCTTGGGGCTGATGGAGAAGGTGGATCCTTGCCCCAAAACGGGGGCTGTGAACCATGGGCTACCCTCTTGCAACCATCCCATGTGCTTCAGCGCTGCACAGAGAAAGGAGAGTGTTGATGCTGGCTCAGTGCTGGGTCTGTTTTCTTTATTCCACCTGAAGAGATGGCTGGGACAGGGCCAATAGCGATCTTTTGGGGGCCCAGCTGATCCCAATGGGGACACAAACACAGCCCTGCAGGGACTGAAGGAGCCCAGCCAACTCACACCAGCCAGAAGTCCAACCTGGTTATGATACCCTGTGTTTTTGGACTGTTTCTGCCACGTTTTCAGGCACTACCTGTGCAGAGGCAAAGAAGGGAGCTGGAGACGGTGCCTCTCCATTCAGCCCGAGCTGCAGGACCTGGCCGCCCAGCTGACCACGAGCATCAATTCAGCACCAAAACTGAAATACTGCAATGCCTTTGGCCTTCTCCAGGTCCTTTTAGTTTTTTTTCTTGCTTCATTTGCACCATCTGCAACCAGAAAGTCCCTCCCAGGACAAGGGCGGCTGCTGCCACCAGCCACTTCAGAAGTGACACGAGCTGCAGATGACCCCTTTTCACCAGGCAATGAGTTTGCCAGGTCTCTACCTGCACCGCTGGCATTGCCGAGCTGCGCGGCGAGTGCTGGGTGCGCTTGTGGTGATGGGCTTTTAACGGCAGCCAGCGGGAACCCTGCAATAAAACTTAACCACCCAATGCTCGAGCAAACCGCACATCCCAAGGGATGCTGGCAGCTGATGCAGCTGATGCTTCGAGCATCTTAACAGCAACAGAAATGGTTTCAGCCCTTCCCTAAAAGCTCGCCTAAGCATGTGGAGGGGTTTGATGCCGGGTGGGGGATGCAGCGGCAATTAGCTGCTGCCGAAAGTAATGAACTGCCTTGTGAGTGAGGATCGGTGCGTGGGACCCCTCCGGAGGAGCTGGCATCTCCCTGGTGTTAATGGCAAAGCCAAGCCCATCCCCAGCAGCCCCGGGACAGGTTGCTTTGGGAAAACACCATTTATCGACGAGTTGGCTGGAGGAACAGCTCCGTCCTCTCCTCCTGCTGCTGCTCTCAGTGCCAAAGGACAGCCAAAGCGAAGGGCTGCGGGGAATAAATGCATGAAGCCGAGCCCAGCAGCACTTTCTAAAGAGGGTTTCAAAAAGCAGGTGAGTGAAGTCGCTTCAAACAACTCCCTGAAGCTCTCCAAACTGCTAAATTGCAGCATGGAGTGTCTAAATATATACTTTGTAATAAATACAAGCATAAAAACTGATTTTATTTCCCAGTGGCAACGCAAGAGGTGAAAAAAAAGATCAGAGCTAGCTCACTCGGGGGATTTGCGTGTAAGTTCAGTGGAATACGGTGCTTCAGGTAGCAGCTGCGGAGTCAAGGTATTGTATAAAGCTCATGGCTTTCATTAAAAAAGGACTTTCCCTGCCTTCATGACAATAAAAAAAAAGGCTTGACAATATTAATCTAAAGTCTTAGAAACCAAGGAAATAAAAACCCCAAGCAATACATTTAAATCGCTTTGATTTTTTTGGCTGTTGGAAATATTAGTAGTCTCAAAAAAACCCTACCTGAGCATTCAAAACTCATCTTTAATGAAAGAAATCTCCTTTTGACTGTGCACATTCAAATTTGTGCTGGAAACAGCTCATATCAACTCTTCAGCTCCAGAAATACTAAAAAAAAAAAATTGAGTTGGGTATTTGCAGCTCCGAACACGGGGTTCCTGCCTCGGGTATCACTGGAGAAGATGTTACCGCTAATGTCCTAGTTATAACCCTGCCAACACAGGGAGAATTTATAATATCCCATAAAGCCCTAACTATCCAAAAGGTCATTTTAGTGCTAATACTGCTCGGGCATCACCGTTTCATTTGCTGACACTTTTACGAAGCCACGCTTAATTCCAGCACAGCTGCTGTAAAACCTTTATAGCGACGGTCTCTGCCTCGAAAAATAATCTGTAAAAATCAAGAGCTGGAACGTCTTCATCAGCGGGTGCAGGCAGCCCCGAAAGGCTGCGCCCGCTCTCGGTGTGAGGTTCCCCCAAAACCCAGGGCTGGGCACCCCCGACCCGGTGCAGGGCAGGTTTAATCCCCAAATCTGAGTCTCCAGCCCTGTTATTCACAGCACCGTCAGAGCCCACCAACGCTCGCTGCCTTGGCTAAATTAAGTCTCCTAATTTCATACAAAACTATCAAGCCCTCATCTTGCCCAGAAAGCCATTTCCTTAGCGCTAAAATAGCTAAATTAGTCTTGTTCGGTGTCGTAAAGGAGCTTGTCTTGTTTATTGAGCGATAAATATAAAGGTACAGTAACTAAATTCATCAGTCCCTAAACACAGCCGCTGGGAACAGCCATTTCCACCATCCAATCTACAACCGCATGAATATTTCAGAGTCCTCTTTCAGGAGCCCGGATATTATTTTCTGCTTTTCAGCTTTTTGGATGTATTGGAGGAAATGTCATTATTTGGACCTGGGTGGATTACAGTTGACTTTCCTAAGCCAATTTATATTGGCAAGCTGCTGTTTTTAAAAACCCCTATAAATCACTCCTATGAATTTTAATAATATAATGTGGTTTCAAACATGCTCCCTTAATACGTGACACACTATTACAGCTGGCAATAGCTCCTCGGGTCACGAACTGCGTTTTACCATCACCTGATGCCTTGGCCCGAATTATGGAAAACCCTCTCCTGCCCCAAATAGCTCGTTGCCAGGACTGCAATTTAGCAGCCTGCAAAAAACACACCTCTGCTCACACCACCCCGCTGCATCTGATGTTACCTGCCTTCCCAAAGCGTAAAAGGCAGAATTAAACCTTAATTGCATGAAACCCTCATCTAGGGGTTTACCTGGAACGTTTGAAGCGTTGGAGGGAAGGAATGGGGATGTTGGGCTTTGGCCCTGGTCCCCTCGCCTGCGCTGAGCACTGGCAAACTCATCGCAGCTGCCCGCCCACCACAAAGGGGTGGCCCTTTGAAGATGGGTCTGAAAGCACCGTGCTGCCAGGGTTGCACCAGCGAGGGTCCCCTCCAGCCCACCTCCGCCTGCCCGACCCCGTCCTCCCCCAGGGACCACGGGTGCCCCCCTGGCCTCACATCACCCCGCGAGATCCAAACGCTCCTCGAGACAGCCCCCAGCCCTCTGCGGGGTGTCAGGTACCAGTCACAGCACGGTCACCACCAGCAATAATACATTTGAGGCCATTTAATTAATTTCTTTATCTGAAACTTTGTTTGGAAGATCAGGAATTTCCTCCCTCCCTGCCAAGACCCCGTTCCCAAGGCAGAGGCGGGATCCAGAGCTTGGGGTGAGACCTTAAAAGATGCTGGTGCAGAAATTGCCAGGATTAGGACTATTTCCTGATATTTCCCATAATAAGGACATAAAACACGCATCCAGAGTGCGACCCCAAGCCAGGATTCACAGCTCTAAGTGGTCCAGAAACTCCCCCACACTGGGAGACGAGGCCAGATCTCCTAATCGCCTATTGACTTATTTTGATGAGCTCTGTCCTCGTCTCGCGCAAATTATATTAATTTTCTTCCCATCCCCGTTGCAACAACTCCATGGCGTCTGCCGGCTATCAAGGGGTGCCCAGAAAGAAAAAGGATCGTTAAGGGATGGACTAATTGCAGGCAGGGGAAAAAATAATGAGCCAGAATTTGCTTTTTGGTTTCTGAAGGCAGCGAGGGCTCCCCAGCGCGGGATGCAGCAGGACAGGGGCAAAGGGGTGCAGGGACCTCCCCAGCCCTTGCTATTGCTTGTTCGACTGCGGCCGGCATCGCTGAGCCCCAAAGCAATCGCTGGTTTAATGTTCTCAGGAGAAAAAAAAAAAAAAATCCAGTTTGTGCAGGGAGCGTACAAGCTTTTCAAAGGCTTTCGCTGTGATGATTTACCCTGAAATGTTGTCACGTTCATCATTAATCTATTTTTTCCCTTTTCTGTAACTTAACCTGCGACAAGCCAACATTGTAAGTGCTTGATTTTCCAAGAATAAATTACAGTTTCATAAATGGTATTTTGCTTCGCTGCTCAATTTGCAAGTGAAATGATGCCAATTGCTTTGTTCACAGGATTTTATCCAGCACGAACAATACCATCCTCGAGATTTTTTTTTTTTTTAACCCTCAAGTTACTTTCGTATCCTATATAACAGGAATACATGGAAAAGTACACGACAGCCCACATGTTTTTGCATTATCGACTAACCACGAGCAGATACAAGGGCACACGTGCCTGCCTATAAAACCCCACATACGTCAATCTAGAAACGAGATAAGTCACACACAGAGCGATCCGCTTCCCAAAGAGAAAATAATCCTTTCGATGAGAAATATTTACAGTTGCTGCACGCTGGTTTAGACAGTGTCCCGAGTGACTTTTTACATGCGTGATTTATGATTTGGTTTGGGGAAGCCAGCCCCCCCCCCCCCCCGTTTCTCCCAGGGCCCCCCAAGTTGCCCCCTGGACCCCCCCGAGCCCCCCCCGGACCACACC